CATCCTCAAGTCTTGTGTTTATCCTTCGGGATAGATACAGGATTTGAGGTACAATGCTCTTTCATTTTAAACTATGAAAATTATGGGGTCAGTTTGATTTCATACTTCAACGTCCTTCCGAAGCGGGCGACGGGATTTCAATTCCGACAACCGACAGCTTCTTACGGGCAACCCCACAAACAAACCATCCCCGAAATAACGCCGACAGACAAGATTGGGGACTAACCTAGCAAATTTCAATCTCATCAATGACTAGATGCCTAGTCATATCCTCCTTTCATTTCAAAAAATCACAACTAAAATAAACTCTTGGTAAATTTAAAGACTAATTAATTTCCAAGCTTAACACTAAATTTTAGCAAGTTTAGTTTACCGGTGATCTCTTCATCCAAACTAGAAGCCCCATTACAATTCATCCTTAAAGACCATCTTGTCTCGCCTTAGATATTAGAAATGCCCTCCATCACTAGCCACAAACATCCATTTGCCCAAATTCTATGTGGAGCTCATCTTTAATGCCTTTAAGTTTGTTACGTTTTGAGCTTTGATGCCTCTTCTATACAAACCAAACACACGGTGGTATAGCTTTCCTCCATTCATCTCTTGCTTGCACTCAAATGAGGGTTGCAAGATTATGAATGTAACAAATAAAATGGAGGCCCACCAATCATTGTCACCCATAACTTCTTCATGTGTCCAGGACCCTTTTGCAAAGAGTATTGAATTGATTGTTGAAAATAAAACTCTTCAAAACTGACCTCGCTACATCATTAGCATCATAATGCCAATGACCAATAATTTAGCACTTATACTCAACGTAGAGTTTATACAAGATGTTTTTAGATATATATAAATACAAGCTTCATTAAGGATAAGTTCTCGGGCTCAATTACATTAATATTGTTTTAGAACGCTAAATAAATTGATCCTTAAAATAAATAACATGGGATAGATGCAAAAATATGAGCTATACGCCTCCACCAATACAATATTTCTTCACCTACACAGACAAGTAACAAATAATCAAAGCTTAGTTTATGGTCAACGCATTCCCTACTTATCCTTCTAGACCTCATGTTTAGATGTTTTCAATCCCACTGAGCTTGCCAACTACTCACCAAGCTCGTCACCTATACATTGAGCTCTTCCTCTACTCTTATCCCAGAAGACTCCAGTAAAAACCTACTTTTACGCATGTTATAAGGATTTATCAACTAAAAAATATAGCTAATCCACGTTCCAGAACATTAAAAGCATATGGATCAATCCCTCAAAGAAATTATGGAGTTTGACCTCCATAAGTTATTATGAATTTCAATAATTATGAATTTTCATCTTGATGTGCATTTGACTTTAGCAATGACGCTTAATCTCGTTGCTTTAAATTAAAAGCAATACATGCTCTTTTATCCTTTGTTTGAACTTGTCATATGAGATGGTAATGTTGTCGCTTGAGTTGCCAAAGATGATCTGTTTGGTTTATTTGCATTGAATTGAAAAAACAACTAAAATAAACAAAAATAAAATTCAAAAATGAAAACTTATATTTTTTTTCTGTTGTAGGTTTTTTGTTGCAAGAATTCAACATATTATTGATGTTTTTACCTGCCCTTAACGTTATTAACTAAAACAATTCTAACATTGATAAACATTGTGCGAGCTTAACCAAATGTGTCCCAATTCACACAAATTTAGACTGATAAGGCATGCGGTTTTTTTTATAAAGTTATATTTATTTCCTAATTTCTCTAATTTGAACTTAAAATAAAATGAAAATAAACTCAAATTTAAATTGATAGTAATCTATACATAACGCTGTATATTAACCTAATTTATGAGTCCATAAAAATTTTCTTTGTGGCATGAAATCGATAATCATTGATTTGAATAAAAAAAAAATCTTTTCAATTCAGTTTAGTGATTGTAAGTTGAATGTACAAATCTTATAAGTGCGGTGCAAGTTTAAGTACCTAACTCCCAAGGAAGTCATCTTCTTCTATAACATCAGATCAAATTTTTCTGACTTTATTTCAATTCACTCGTTGTTCTACTTCATAGACATATTTTATCATTAACTTGCTTAGCACTCTTGATTATGATGAAGAAGTTACATTGAACATCTGATTTAGTGACTTCAGCTCATTCTCAAAGTTTTAAGTTCTCTCTCAAGTCCCTAGTTTACTCTCATAAAAGGAGTGAGACTCTATTTATAGAGTTCTTAGTGCAATAAATGCAAAAATATGAACCATTTTAATCGGACGGTCCATAGGGCATCTAATAGTGGTTTCATGACTTGATTCGAGCTTGATTTAACTCGAATTGGACTAATTTTGTTAACATTGAGTTCTTCTTGTTGAACATGTTAGTTTGACTGTAAATTTACTGAAATTAAAGTTATTGATGAGTTTTTATCAAGATTTAACTATTTTTTGTCCAAATAATCATCTTGAGATCTACCTCATGCCTTGAGATTCAAGCCGGATAATTAAAATTTGCTAGAGATGTATTAACAGTAATCCAAACATAACCTCCATTGAGCTCCTTTGCATGAGGAGGAAATATCTCTTCTTCCCTTTCACCCACCACTCCTACAGACTATAACCCAATCGTTGAAGGAATCCTGGAAAAACTATGGCAGACATCCTGCAATTCCATCGAGTCCTTTTTTTTGCTCCGACTATGATTTTATCTACAACAACATCATTCGTTCTTGATATAATCATACTAATGATCCACCAAAAGCAAGGTTCCTCACCTAAAATTCTCTAGGAGTATATGATCCAAAAAGAGAAACGGAGTAAGAATTTTGCTGAAAAGTAGAATAGAAGCATCTTAAAGCTATAAGATTATGAGATCCCTAAAGTACTCATGGATCATGGCTGTGCAAAATTAAAAGAAAGTGCGGGAGAGATGACTATTTACCCCATCTCAACGAGAAAAATATAAAACCAAGTTAGGGTTTTTCCCATCTACGCCGAGCGAAACACAGGAGAACAACGATATAAGAAAGAGATCTGAATTCTGAAAAAAAAATATATCGGGCCGTACGTATTCTTAGAGCTTGACTCAATAGTCAAATGTGTCTAAATGGATTCAAAATCTAGCTCAAATCAAATTGAGATTATATATATATATATATA